TGAAAACTATCTCGGGAATTTCATTCCATCAAATAAAATAATATTAATTTTTTTCTGAACATTTTTTTAGTTTAAAAACTTTTATCACTGAATGGTTTTATAACGATAATATCGTTTATATTTTACTTGAATTTAAAAATAAGTTAACTAAATGTCTTTATCCACACTTCTTCTCAGAGCAAACTGCCTTCCAATTAGATTAAGTTTGACCAAATTGGGTAAACTTTTTTACAATCTGTTACTTGTGAACTCAGAATGAAAAATATTAAAAGGAATAAATATAATTTAACTTTGCTTTAAAATAGTGACAAAATTGAAAACCTGTAGTTTTACTTTGCATAAGTGTGTATTAGGTGCAAAAAACAATCTTATTCGGTTACCATCTTGTATATTATTGTTTGAAACAAAACTTATAATAAATTTCGTATGTGTGTCACTAAAAAAATATTATTTGTTTTTTACCAGATTAAATATTAGATTTCCAACATCTATATTATGAATATAAGATAATGCTTATATTACCAACTAACTTCAAGAATAACAACTTCATGTATTAAGTAGTTGAGGCAAAATGGTTCTACTGTTAAGTAAAATAGGGGTCTGACTTAGGGGAGGTACAAATGAGGCATTTAGTTCAAAATTCCTCCGTGAACAGCGCTGTAGTAGAGAGCACTTTGGCAATAAAGGTTTACTAATCTCAAAAATAGTTCTGTTCATAAAATAAAATTATAAATGCCTCAAATTCAATTTTACTATTTTTTAATTATAAAATTAAACTATCATAACCTAACCGAACTAACCAAACTTGCTGATAAAGAAATAATATAACAACAGTTTAGTAATCGGAAAAATAATTCTGTTTATTAAATAAAACTAGAAATTGCTCAATTAAAATTTTTTAATGACTTAATTAAAAAATTAAACTGTAATAACCAAACCAAACCAACCAAACTTGCTGATAATAAAAAAAATCCTGGACAAAAAGTTACTGCTATCAGCGGGATTCGAACCCGGGACCTACAGTATAATCAGCCCGGCACGCTAACCATTAGACCACCGAGGCCGATGGCTAACGAACGTTTTGTTACGGTAATGGCGTTCCCTCAGCTAATAAGAAGCCCTCAGCTGTCATCGTAGCCTCTTCTATACCTCCCCTGAGTAAATACCGTAAAATAGGAGGGTCATGTGGAAAAATAATTCCGCTATATGGTAATATTTTTGAGCTAACCTAAAATTATTTAAAATAATAGGCTAATCCATGTAGAGTTTTTTCAATGTTACGAATTAAAATCAACTACGCTGTATCCCTTAAATAATTTCTGCCCTGTGTCTTCCTACTGTGCTACGTTCTCAAAAATATGTAATGAACAGACTTCTTTATTTTCACCCAACGCTGTAAATAAAACACGTGATTGGAATTTGTTTCATTTGTTTTGGTTTTCTGTTTATATTTCGTTGTTATTTTGCCCCGGCATGACCAGTCATAAGGCGCATGTTAATTTTTAAAATTTTAAATTCATCGTTTGTGCTAATTTTTTAGCCTATTTTAATGAATGAAGGTATTCTGCGCATATAAATGAAATATTATGTTTAACGGTATGCGGAGATTTTCCCTGCGATGCACACGTCCTGAAAAAAGGGTTGAAAGAAACATCTTTCCTCTTAATATATAGATAGATACTTTATTATCTATCAATATATAATTTTTATGCAATACAAAAGATATAGTTTAATATTTTCATTATTTAAAAGTAAACATAGCTGAAATTGAAAATATCCATTATGTGAACGTATAGCTGAAACGGTTAAAAAAATTATGTAGACTTCAAGCTTTGCAAAAAGTACGTATAAAGTGTTATTACTTATATTTATCAACTCACATCAAAATTTTTCACAGTATTGGATTATTAGTGTTAAAAAACACACAATAATATTTAGCGTATTAAATGGTAAAAGTAGATGACATGCAATGTAATAAATTAATCGTGAATAATTGGCTTTTTCGCTTTTTATGCATTCGGACACATGTCAGGAGTTCATGCACATTTCTAATTTAGGGTTTAATAAGGAGATCTAATATTTATTTCAAAGTATTGGTAACGACTGTTGTGTTTAGTAATAGCAGATTGGTTGGAACAAGTTACATGTCGGCCAGTCAGACCTATACTAAGGCATCTGATACCTCAGGGAAATCACCACCTTCCCAGTAACGTGCAAGGCCTGATTAATATAGAAGGCCTGCGGATATGATACTTCTAAATTACCATACACTCTTCGCTTGAATTTCATTTCCAATTCAAATTAGGTTTTAATATAAACGTAATTAGTTTTGTTTTAGTTACTTAGGATAGATTCATGTCTAAAGCATTGAAATTTATTATAGAATTTATATTTTCAAATAATTAAACCCATCATAAACAAATCATCAGTATCGTAGCTATACCAAAACATTAACAGAAAACCTTGGATTGATGTGCGATGTACCGTATTTGTAGCATAAATTGGTTTTATATAATTTAAAAATGTAATGTTTACTTGAATTGTGTGCTTTCACAGTCTTTGTATTCCTGATTCTGTATCTTTGTAAGAATCGAATGTGTTGCTCTTTTATGTGGTTGTGTTTTATGAAGGCTTATAAAGATTTATGTGGGGTAATACACTTCATAATTGAATCACAAATAACATGTAATAGGCCAATTTTAATAGGAGAGTTAAAAACCATTGAAAAGGCGAAAAATAAAACAGAGAAAAGTATAGTAAAAATAAAAGCAACACAAACAACAGTGTAAGTTTTAAGTGTTATTAGGCTTATCATATATATTTTTACACTTGCTATGCTGTTTAAGAAGATATTTATAATAAAAGTACAAACACGTGGCATATAAGTACATGCCCTGTAAAGAAGCTATAAATAACTGTTACTTATGCATAAAAGAACATTTTAATATTTTTTTTTGTAGGTTGTAGAAGTATTTTATTTACTTACCATGATAAACTTAACACGAATATTGATATATTGATTAATAAGCTATTCAAAATAACTGTATAAACAACAAGACAATAAAACCCTTTCGATACTAGAGAAGCAATTGGATTCAATCCAAGATACTATTATTCCCTCAATATCTCTGGTAATCGTCCTTCATGTATTGGTATATTTATATACAGTATATTAAAATTGTTTAACCTAGAACAGAGAAATACTTAAAACATTTTCATTATATGCATGAAAACATAATTACTCAAACATTTGTTGTACATAGAACATTTGTTATGGGTATATATGTAACTGTTTGCAAAGTGTGTAACAAATTTGGCCCTTAATGATAGGATACGATGGAAACAAAATTGAAATATTTATTACAGTTATAGAAACACACACGGCCTACAGTACACGAATGTTCTACAACGATATCGTTTAGGACACTTTAAAATTATAACAATCCATAAAACTTATAAAGATGTAATATTGAAAATACTTGTTTTAGTAACTAGTGTAAGCAATCTTAGCATTTAATCAAGGAAACAAGTAGATTTCACAATAATAAAGACATGTGATACGTCTTAGAATATTAAAATATTTTGTTCTCACTAATACAAATCCACCTCAACAATTTCGAATAAAGTTCTGTTAATATGGACACATCAAAGTTGGAGCAAGTCAACAAGGATAGGCTTACTCTGTAAAAAAAAAAATCTAAGTTAAAAATATGTTCATCATAAGAAGCATAAGTGTAGCATAAGTGTATCTTAAGAATGTTCACATGTTGGTAAATCATCCTTGAGTTTGATCAAGCGTAGTTCTAGTAATTTCCTTTTCTTTAGACATAAGTCAAATTCTTTTCTACTTACCATTTTACTCGTCGCCATTGTTGATTCCACTAATTTTAGTAATAAAAGTTCACATTTTGTATAAGAAAATAGAAGATAAGTTTTTATTAAATCACAATCTGTAAGTAAACATAACAATTCAATAAGTAAACAAAATAATAATTTGAACACATGTTAGAAATAAAATGTAAATAAAACATATGCTAACAAGTATGTTTACTTCCAAAATAATGACATTACAAAGCACTGATTAGATTATCTAGTTAGTTATCGGGTAATGACTTTTGGATTTACAGACAATGAAGTAAATACGCAGCATCATCAATATAAATTAGCCTACAGTATTTAATATATGTTTTTAAAGAAACAATATCTAACACTTCGCCAAGTAAATGTTCCTGTCTGGACGGTTTGGACTGATCAAACTATGAACCTGAAAATCGTGGTAGGATTTCCGTTGATTGGACATTTTAAACATAATACTTATCAAATTTTCACACTAATTTTGACTTCTAAGTTAATTATTTAGGCAAAGCAACTCAGACTTTCAATAATGATTTCGCAAAAAGAAATCACGTTTTCCACTACGAAGAACTTGCATACGATTGATTATAATCAATATATACTCTCCGCGTGTTGTAAAATCATCCGTTAGCATTACTTTACCCACATCGTAACATGATGAAATTTAAGAAGTTCGATAATACCTAGTAATAATTTATTTTTATTTGTATAGTTATGTCATAATTGTATATCAGTGCTTCAGAAATGATGCCATACTGATCCAAATACAAACATGGCTCCTGCATTACTGCATCGAGACATTGTATACAATAATTAGAAAACAGGAATATCACTTGATTTTGTCACTTTGACTTTAATTCTTGTGTACAAATCATCTGGCTGATACACTATTACCACAAAGCTGGCACCGCTGAGAAGTATTAGGTTCATCGACCATCCACTAACTAGGTTGACAGCTTTATTTTGAAGAACGATCGGGAATTGCCTCTTAGCTTCCTCAAGGCTAACATAGATCTTGTATATTTTAGACAGTAATGTTTTTATCTATAGTTTGTAATTCAAGTGTTAACTAACTATTTATCAAAAAAACTTTACTATTTTGTACATCTTAACATCTTATTTGACATCTTATTAACTTAATCTTATTATTTACTGTGCTGCGGCACTTTACGAAGAATCAGCTGGTCAACATGTCTTCTTATTATTCGTCCATCTTCCAGCTGAACTACGTACATTACATGTCCTTGCTTTTGAGTTATATAGCCCGAAAACCACTTGGACGAACCATTTACATATTCCCGCGCTTGCACTTTATCTCCAACTTTGAAATTCCTTTTTATACCGACTTGGACTCCCTTCTTCTGATATTTGTTCAGTTCTAATGTTGGAACAATTATTGCTAGGTTTGTTCGTACACTCCTTCCAAACATTAGGTGATATGCTGATGTACCTGTTGAATTCGGGGATTGCCTGAGTTGCATTAGAAGTCTTTGGATTTTATTTTGCAGTGTACCCTTTTCTCCCTCCATGGATTTTAACGCCTTCTTGACAGTCTGCACGTACCTTTCAGCCTGGCCATTTGAGTTTGGATAGTATGGTGCCGTTGTTCTGTGAATAATCCCACATTCATTCATGAAGTTTTTGAACTCTTGAGAAACAAACTGTCTTCCATTATCGGAAACTAGGATGTGAGGAAACCCAAAAGTTGAGAAGATTTTCCGTAATTCTTGGACTGTCCATGTACTTGTAGTTGTTTTCGTCTGTATCACATCCACCCACTTACTAAAGGCATCCACTAATATCAGGTACTGTTGGCCATCTGTTGGTCCTAAGAAATCAATGTGCACCCTCTCCCATGGATTAGAAGGTTGTTCCCATGGATGGGTAGTTTTCCTCGGGTTGTTGCATTTTTCAATGCATTGTCGACATTCAGTTACCATATCTTCAATATCCTTGTCTATACTTTTCCACCAGCAAAAACTGCGAGCTAAAGCCTTCATTTTTATTCCTCCTAAATGAGCTACGTGTAGTTCTCGAAGCACATGAGGTCTGAGAGATTGAGGTATCATGACTCTCCAGCCTTTCAGTACACAATCATCTTGAATGGACAGCTCGTTATCGTGAAATCCGTATTGTTCAACAGATTGTCCCGATTTCAAGGCCTGTAGGACTGGACCCAAAACAGCATCGTTGAGAGTTTCCTTAGCCACCACGGTACTGTTGATATTGAGTGTTTCCAGTTGATTTATGTGGTACTTCGAGAGGTCATCTACAGAATGTTCTTGTACAACTTCGATAGGGAATCGAGAGAGATAATCTGCATTGCAATGATGAGCAGTTTGCCTGTACTCTATGTCATAGTCGAACCCGGAGAGAAAGTGAGCATAGTTGAATATCCGTGTTGCCGAGATTGTTGGTAAGGTCTTTGCTGGATTAAGAATTGACACCAGCGGTTTGTGATCAGTGACCAAAGTAAATTTGCGGCCATAACAAAACGGGAAAAACTTTTTCAGGCCCCAATATATTCCCAAGGCTTCCTTATCGATTTGAGAGTATTCTTGTTCTGGTTTTGATAAAGATCGAGAGGCGAAGGCAATTGGCCTGTCTGTTCCATCCCTATAGCGGTGCGAAAGAACGGCTCCTACACCTACCGGCGAAGCATCAGTAGCTAAGACCAGTGGCAAGCTAGGATCAAAGTGTACCAACACGTCATCACTTGTAATAATTTCTTTAATCTTCAGAAAACTCTGTTCACAAGCAGAGCTCCATGTAAAAGTGTTTCCTTTTCGTAGCAGCCGATTCAAAGGATGTAGCAGTGTAGCCAAATTCTTTATGAATTTGTTGTAATAATTCGCAAGGCCTAGGAAGGTTCGGAGTTCAGTTACGTTCTCTGGTCTTTTACATTTTAAAATGCTCTGTATTTTAGCATCTGACTTGTGTAGTCCTTTGCTATCGATCACATGACCTAAGTACTCAATTTTGTTCTGGAAAAACTTACACTTCTCTCTATTTAACCTCAAATCATTCAACTTCAATCGTTCAAACACCTGTTCCAGTCGGCGAAGAAGCTGTTCCCTGTTAAATCCTTGGACAATTACGTCTTCAAAGAAACATTGTACGCCTTCTAAGTTATGTAATGTTTTGTCCATGAATCTTTGCCATAACAAGGGTGCCACTTTTACTCCAAACATTAATCTGTTCACTTTAAACAGCCCTTTGTGAGTACTGATTGTTTGCATGATGGCACTGTCTTCGTCCATCTCCATGTGCAAGTATGCATTACTGATATCAAGAGTACAAAATATCTTTCCACAATGCATCTTTGACATGATATCATCAATCCGAGGTATAGGGTAATGTTCGTCTTTAATAACTTTGTTCAAAGTCACCTTGTAGTCAGCACATATTCTGACTGAACCATTGGGTTTGACAACCGGCACAATGGGTGTGCCCCAATCGGATGATTCAAAACGTGTGATTATACCCAAAGTCTCCAGTCTTTCAAGTTCCTTCTCTACTTTTTCTTGTAATGCATATGGCATGTGTCTAGGTTTGATGTAAATTGGCTGGGTTTCGTCTTTTACATTAAAATGACCCTTTTCTTTTGGTATTTTCCGAATACCTTCTTTGAAAATGTCTTCGTATCGAATCATCAAATCATCTAGTTCTTGGATGTTTTAGTTTTAACTTGAATTTAATGAATGTATGTCAGCTGCATCAAGTTGAATCTCTCTTATCCATTCCCTCCCGAATATAGAGTCTACACACTTGTTAACAATGTACAGTTTTCCAACAAAACTTTGATCTTTATACTGAACATTTACAAAAACAACTCCTCTTGGATTGATTATTTCCCCAGTGTATGTCTTGAGTTGAACATTTGTCTTGAAAATCCTTTTTGGAGAGTTTAAAAGCTTAAATGTATTGTATGATACAATACTGAGAGCCGCTCCTGTATCTAACTCCATTGTCATGAGTCGTCCTTCCACTTTTACCTCGAGCATAAACTTGTCATTTGATTTTGAATGAAGTTGGTAAATTTCATGAGTGTCATCATAGCTTGTATTTTCTGCGGTTTCATCTGATTGTTTTACTTCTTTGTTTGGTTTTCTTAGACATACTCTTGCTAAATGACCAAAACGTTTACAAGAGTTGCATTCTGCATTTTTGAACTTGCATTGATGTGCTCTATGTGAATCATCACCACATCTATAGCATTTGTTTCTCAGTTTCTCCAAACGAGTTTGATACTCAGAGAGTTGTATATTGTTAGATTTACAAGGTTTCCTATCTGGCTGTTTGTTCTTGCTTGATACTTGGTGTACTTCCTCTTGATTTTCATTTGTCTTTACTATTCTGCTTTCACTTTTCGCTAGTTCCAATGTAGCAGCCTTTTCGACTACTTCTTTAAACGGTTGCAATAGTTTATCTTGAAGACGTATATTAAAAGTTTGTTGTTGATGTGTCTTTTAATCCCCTGACAAACTGCATTCGAAGTAGAATTTCAGATACAGATTCATTACAACTTGTACAAGTAAACTGACATTCTACACTGAGCTTTCTAAGAGCATTAGCGTAAGCTTGTACAGATTCATTACACAATTGGGTACGTGTCGTAAATTTGTGCTGACGTGCTCAAATACTGGGTTTTGGTTCTAGTTGAGCCATCAACATGTGAATCAATTCCTCATATGGCTTGTTATGTGGGTCATCTGGTATGCAAAGATCGTATAGCTGTTCATGTATTTGTGGGGTGATTGCCTGTAAAAATAAATCCACTTTGACTCTTGGACTTATGTTTCCCAGTAATTTTGTGTAGTTTTCAAAGCGTCGAGTGAAGTTTTGAAAACTTTCCTCTGGTGTATACGGCTGGAAAGGAATATTAGATACATTTTGACATGTTGCAGAAGCAGAAATTGCTGTATGTGTATCGTACTTTTTCTTTTCTGCTTCAAGGAATGTCCGTATCTCTCTATATATTTCTTCTAACTGCCATCGAATTTCTAATTCACTTTCTACTGAATTTGTGTGAAGTTCAATATTTGACTGTGTAACCTCAATTTCAGCCCATATTGCTAAAAGTTTATCTGTGTAGTAAGTATCATAAGAAGCATAAGTGTAGCATGTATCTTAAGAATGTTCACATGTTGGTAAATCATCCTTGAGTTTGATCAAGCGTAGTTCTAGTAATTTCCTTTTCTTTAGACATAAGTCAAATTCTTTTCTACTTACCATTTTACTCGTCGCCATTGTTGATTCCACTAATTTTAGTAATAAAAGTTCACATTTTGTATAAGAAAATAGAAGGTAAGTTTTTATTAAATCACAATCTGTAAGTAAACATAACAATTCAATAAGTAAACAAAATAATAATTTGAACACATGTTAGAAATAAAATGTAAATAAAACATATGCTAACAAGTATGTTTACTTCCAAAATAATGACATTACAAAGCACTGATTAGATTATCTAGTTAGTTATCGGGTAATGACTTTTGGATTTACAGACAATGAAGTAAATACGCAGCATCATCAATATAAATTAGCCTACAGTATTTAATATATGTTTTTAAAGAAAAAATATCTAACACTTCGCCAAGTAAATGATCCTGTCTGGACGGTTTGGACTGATCAAACTATGAACCTGAAAATCGTGGTAGGATTTCCGTTGATTGGACATTTGAAACATAATACTTATCAAATTTTCACACTAATTTTGACTTCTAAGTTAATTATTTAGGCAAAGCAACTCAGACTTTCAATAATGATTTCGCAAAAAGAAATCACGTTTTCCACTACGAAGAACTTGCATACGATTGATTATAATTGAATGAACGAAGTGAATTCTCATACTGGTGTAAAATGCATCTCATGTAAATCCAAAAACTCGAGAATGACTATGTATATGAAGTTGATGTTTTGCACAAAGGTTCTTTATCATATTATCTTGGTTAAGTTCGTTATTGGAGATTATTTGTTTAGTAATAATTATAAAATCCTAAAAAAAACCATTTTAATTTTTCCCCATAAGAATAACATTAGGAGCTACCTTCTTCTTCTTTTTTTTGTTTACATTTTACGACCAACAACTTTGTTGTGAATTCTAGAGACCAAAGAGACCGAAGTGAATCTATTATTTCTTTCATCCATGGAGTAGACAGTGTAGGTATATTATATTAGTCAATGGTTTTATATGCATAATACATCTTTAAATTATAATTATTAAAGAAATATTCATCTGAGGAAATAAATATGGGATTTAAAAATATTCACTCCAATGTATTATAATCAATAAAAATATTTTAGGTATTTACATGTTTTAATTTTTTACATGTGTTTATGTTGTTTGTTAAGTAGGCTTGAAATAAGACCGTAGTCCTTGGGCCGAACTTCATCACTTGGGTGGCATGATGGATTTCTAAAAATAGTGGTGTTAACATTGTTTTGAGTTTTTATATGATTAATTTTCAATATTATTGTTATAGCATACTATTAAATGCACAAATGCCTATGCCAATCAGATTTTTTTTTTAAGAGACATTTTTTCTAACCATAACGATAACATAGTGTCTTTTTTCTTATCGTCGTCGTCGTCGGTTCAGTTGTGTTTTGTTTTGTTTATTCGTTGTGTTTTGTGTTTTCTTTTCTCTGTTGGTTCTTGGCTAGGTGACCAGTAGGTGACAGGTGTTGTTTTGTTGGTTGTTGGATGCTGTAATATAAAATAGTGAAAGATTTTTGGGGTACAGTTTCTTAACGGGGCTACGCTAATATTGATTGAAACTACCTATCGATTCGATTAGTAAACCTTCTTGCGATTTTTTTCACCCGTGTCAATGGCAAACACTAGGACTAGATCTAGGCTAGATGAACTCATGTAGGCATGGCCATTGATTGGTTAGACTAAGCAAGGAAGTAACTTTAATTAATCACTGTGTCTGGTAGGCCTATGTGTTTAAAATATCAATCGTCATTGTTGAGATATGATCTTTCAAGTGTTATTTTGAAACTAGGCCTATAACTTAACGTTATCCGGTAGGGCATAGGCCTAATTATAAGCTAAGTAATCTTAGATACACTAACAAATTAGGCCTAAAAGTTAGGCCTATCAAGTTTAACTGACAACAGAGTGTTCCCTATCAAGTTAGAGCCTGCAATCAAAGGTAATAGCCTACCTTGGCCTTTTCTACAGTCTTATTTAATTTAAAAGGACCTAGGCCTGAGTTAATAGATAAATTTCTTATAAACTTAAGAAGTTAGCCTATCTGTGGCCTTAAGCCTGGTTTTCCTAGGCGTGGAGTGCGGAAAAGCGATTAGCAACGCATTCCGATGCACTTCTAGGTAAACAGGTTAACATTAACTTAAACTTAAATGACTGTAAGAGGCCTACCTAAGGCAAGAGGAGTCTATATATAAGGTTACATTACTTTACCTTGATCGCCAAGTGATCCATGTACCGTAAGTCCAAAAATAGGATTACGCACGTTTCGACATCAAAGCGTCATTGTAAAATCGTACAAAAACTTTCTATACCATAACTTATGGTCACAGTCTTTCCGACACACACAAAAAACACATTACCGGTAGGCCTACCAAAATACATTTAAAAGTAACTTAGGCCTACTAACTTAACTAATTTGTGGTAATGCGACAGATCTGTGGAAGCCTCAGCTTGCGAGCAGATCTGTCGTATTACCACAAATAAGTTAGTAAGTTAGGCTTACTTTTAAATGTATTTTTTTTGCTCGGCAGTCGAGCCTCGGCATGCGAGCTTAGTTAGAAGCCTACGTTTAAATGTATTTTTGTACCGGTATGTGTTTTTTGTGTGTGTCCCGTGACCATATAGTTTAGAAAGTTTTTGCACGATATGACAATGACGCTTTGACGTCGAAATGCGCATAATCCTATTTTTGGACTTACATGGATCACTTGGCTATCAAGGTAATGTAACCTTATAAATTTTATCATCAGTGATTCAGAAAAACAACATACAACATGAAGAGGAGTCTGTGTATTGCACTCCGTTTCTGTGCCTAACTTAGGAAACTCCGGCTTAAGTAGGCCTAGGGTGGGCTGCACTTTACTTGACGTCCTACACTCATTTGAATGAAAATATCGATCGATATATCGATTAATCTATTGCTTCATTCGATATATAGTTTGGTTAGTTAGGTAAGGTTAACCTAACCTAACTAACCAAACGATATATCGAATGAAACAATCAAATGAAAATATCGAATCGAAAAAACAATCGAATGAGTGTAGGACGTCAAGTAAAGTGCAGCCCTAGGGTGAGTTAGGTTTATCAGTTTGCAGTAAAGTTTCCATAATTACTGTACTAAAGCCTAAGTTAGGCTTGAAGTATTCATAGCTCAATCAGAATCTATAAATTGATTCATGTGACAGATTGTTCTAAAAGTCAGTTATGCCCTAACCTCAGAATTTCGCATTTAGTAGGCCTAGGCATGGGTGCAGTTCCGGTAAAACCTGCAATATTTTATCAAATTAATAATATATCGATTATGGTTCGGTTCGATGAATTTTA